CCTCCTGCCTCATTCCCCCCAGCCTCTGGGATTACAGGTGTGAGCCACTGCTTCTGGCTAATTTTAGACATTATGAATTTTATCTTATGAACCAATTTAAATTAACTCATTTGTGAGATATCTGCTTACATTAAATTCTATTTATGAGACATGATAATGTGGTAATATGTACTTATTAATTTGTAAAATGAGAGTTGAATACAAATTACATTCACATTAAATTGAAACAAGCTAAGGTCATATGTTTATATGACTGTTGTCATTTGAATCAGGAATGTCCTCCTAAAGTTCACATGTTGAAGGCTTGGTGCCCAATGCAGCAATGTCTGGAGGTCAGGTTTTGGGGAAGTGATGTATTCATAGTCATTCTGACTTTATCAGTAGATTAATGCATTTGATGGATTTATAACATAAATAAAATACTGGGAGGAGTTACAAAGTATAGGAAGGTTGGGGGGGTGGAGAGGGATGTGCCTTTGGAAACTACTTCTTATCCCTGTCCCTTCCGACCCTCTCTCTCTCTCTCTCTCTTTCTTGGCTGCCATGAGCTGAGCATCTTTCCTCTGCCATGCCTTTCTACCCAAATGTTTCTGCTTTGGAGCAAGCCAACCATGAACTGATACCTCTGAAATCATATGCCAGAATAAATTCTTCTTCCTCTTTTGCATATTTTGATCATAACAACAAAACATTATGATTTTTGTTTGCACACCATATCTAAGCTTTGAGTCAAAATTTCCACGTGAAACAGCTTATACATAAAAAACCTTTCTAGTCTAATCTCTATTTTCTTCAGTCTCAAATAAGGTAAAGAGTTAATTCTTTGATTGCATTCTGCAAGTGGGCTGAGATTAAAAACCAAAACCCAAAAAACCTCCAAGCAACACAAATAACTTCCTATCTTAGTATAAGCAGAAAGCCAAAGAGATAAATATAGGTAGATAGCTATAAAGCCAAAAGCTTTTACATGTTATGCTTAAGATTGCAGTTTAGAAATCATTTTAAACCTCGAGTGGTGGAACACATATGTAATCCCCACAACTCAGGAGGCTGAGGCCAGAGGATCATAAGTTGGAGGTCAGTTTGGGCAAATTAGTGAGAGACCTTGTCTCAAATAAAAAATAAAAAAAAACCTAAGGATGTAGCTCAGTGGTAAAGCACCATTGGGTTTAATCCCCAGTTACACACACACACACACACACACACACACACACACACACAAATAATTTTGAAGGGCACATAGAAATGTTTCAACTTAGGCATACTGGTCAAACAAGAGTATCACTTAAGTGTGCATAACACAAAAATGAATTTATGATAAGAAGGGCCATAAAATAGAAGGTGAGCTCAATATAAAATAATTCTGGGAAAAAATCTGTCAAAAATAAAACAGCTGGGTATATCCTAGCCCTAGGAATTCCAGGGGCAGTTAACCTGGGTGAATGTTTGATTAGGATGTGTTCAGTGTTATCTCCAGAACTCATTTTGTGAGAGGGCTCTCGGGTGCTGGAGCAAGAGTCGTTGAAATAACAGGACTGTCACTGCAGCCATCAAATACATCTCTTAGCCCCTATCAAAAACACAGATCCAAACTAATAGATAAAAACCCATAAAACCCCCACCCTCATACCCCACCGAATATTTCCTCCATGTCTCCAGGATTTTCATAGACAAATGAAATAAAGTAAGCATTAGAGATACTGTTGAAGGAACATATAAAGAGGCCCAACTATCCACAATTGGGGAGTAGCTCAAATGAAGAACCTTGAAGGCTATGCAGGATTTGCCAATCTCCCAAATCAAGTTTACGGAAACTCAGAGAAGAGAGGGTTTGAATTCACATACGGTAGTAGGTGAATCTGGACTGGGAAAATCAACATTAATCAACTCATTATTCCTCACAGATTTGTATTCTCCAGAGTATCCAGTTTTCATCAAAGTAGGTGGTGCTCAGTTGCTGCTCACAATAGTTGATACCCCAGGGCTTGGAGATGCTGTGGACATAGTCATTGCTGGAAGCCTGTTATTGGTGACATTGATAGTAAAAATGAGGATTACCTAAATGCAGAATGTTAGTGAACAGACATCAGATGCCTGATAACAGAAGTACAGTATGGTTACACTTCCTTGCTCCTTCAAAACATAAACCATTGGATACTGAGTTTATGAAGTGTGTGCATGAAAAAGTGAATAGCATTTCACTTATTGCAAAAGCAGACACACTCCCACTGAGGAATGTCAAAAGTTTAAAAAACAGATAATGAAAGAAATTCAGGAACATAAATTCAAAACATATGAATTTCCAGAAACAGATTATGAGGAAGAAAATAATCCAGTTAAAAAGATAAAGGGCCGTTTAGCTCTTGCTGTGGGAGGCAGTAATACTATTATTGAAGTTAATGGCAAAAGGGTCAGAGGAGGCAGCATATCCTTGGGGTGTGGCTGAAGTTGAAAATGGTGAGCATTTTGATTTTACAATACTAAGAAATATGTTGATAAGAACATAGATGCAGGACTTGAAAAATGTTTCTAATAATGTACATGATGAGAACGACAGAAGCAGAAAACTTGCAGCTGGAACGTACAATGGAGTTGATAATAACAAGAATAAAGGGCAGCTTATGAAGAGCTCTCTGGCACAAAGGTAAGGAGAAAGGAGGGAGCATGTAGCCAAGATGAAGAAGGTGGAAATGGAGATGGAGCAGGTGTTTGAGATGAAAGTCAAGGAAAAGTTAAAAACTGAAGGACTTTGAAGCTGAGTTGTAGTGACACCATGAGCCAATGAAAAAGAATTTGGGAGCCCAACATAAGGAACTAGGGGGAAATGATGTCATTTTGTGAAGGAGACATCAAACTAGGAAGCTCAACAATGTACTTTATAGCAACATAACTCCTCAGGGACCTTGGACAGGAACAAGGAAGGGAAGATCTTTTAAACTCTCTATTGACCTCCCATTATGTGTTAGTTACCAATATGCCAGCTGGGACATCAGTGTTTGTGGGCTCCATTTGACCAACTTGCGCCACTTTTATCCAGAATGATGGATTTAACAGCAGACAAAAATTTGTTGTTGTTGTTGTTGCTGGATATTAAGATGCATTGGAAATTGGGTAGTGGATTGTGTACTTACAAAGTAAAAGCTCTAAGAAACTTTCTATATTTTCTTTTCCTTTTGAAAATTTTTATTTGAAAGCAATCTCTTCAATTTAATTCAAGAGAACATTTTTACTGTTGTACAATCATACTCTGCTGGTCTAATTGTTTACAGGATATTCCAAAATAAAGGGACTCTAGAAGGTTTTTATTGAGTATAAATTGCCACAAAATCATGCAAACTATGCTTCCCTAGGATAATTATAATATAGTTATATTATGTAGTTATATTATGCAGCATATACAATAATGTAATTTAGTCTAATACAGTTATATTATGTATTTATATTATGCAGCCTATACAATAATGTAATTTAGTCTAACACAGTTGACCCTAATTTTTAACATTTCCATTGTTTAAAAATACACATGGAAAAAAACCCAATATCCTTACAATGCACCTATAGCTTTTTAATAACAACTGCTTTTTGTTTTGGATTCTTTACATACATATTATTCTCATTTAGTGCCATCTTTAGCTAGAATCTCATAACTCCTTCATATTTGTAATAACATTTAATTTCTTTATTTTCCATATACTGGCCCTGCTAAAATAGAATATAGCATCTTTCATACAATAGAAACCAACAAATAAAACTTTTATTTTAAAACAAATAAAACTTGTGGTTGCACAACACCTTTGAGCCATGTATTAGATGGCTCAGGACTGTGAAAATGTGAATGTCATTGGGATAAAAATATCTAAAAGGAACAACAAAGTTGGTGATGTTCAACAACTAAAAAATTACTACAGAGGTCATATAGGATCAAATTATTTATTACCACACTATAGCATGTAGAATATAATCACAAATCTAGGAGAGTTTAAGGCCTAGTCCAAAGACTAAGAACAAAAGTGATTAATGAATAAGCAATGCATCTATCATGGGCAGTTATTGTGAAAGTTCAAAGATGTACATCTGATTATGGAGAATGGGAAAATGTCTTGAAGAAGATGGCATTAATGGAACTTTAAGGACTAATGGCATGTAAGTGTTTGGGTTGGAGGTAAAGAAATACAATACCACCAGGCAAGGTTTCCTAGTTGCAAGAGGGGTATGTGGTAGATCAAAGCTATTCAACTGTCCAATCTGGTTGACATAAACACTGTATAAATTGGGAACACATATTAAAGAACAGGTGTCAAAGGACCATGACTCTGTCCCCTTGTGTTCCTAGTATATATTGTAACGATATGCATTGCAATGGTGAATGTCAAAGATAGACAAAATGTTTGTTAAAGTTTTTTGGGTTTTTTTAGTTATAGATAGACACAATATCTTTATTTTATTTATTTTAATTTATATGTGGTGATAAGAATCTAACCCAGTGCCTCACACATGCTAGGCAAGTGCTCTACCACTGAGAAACACCTTCTGACTAAAACTTGTTTCTCTATAAACTTGGATAATACTAACAGTATATTCTAGCATTTATTACTATTGTGGCATTCAGACTAAGACAGGTGTGTGACAAATTTGAAGTACCAGGAAAGCACAGTATAAGTAGAATAATTGCATTTAAAATGTGTTAGAAATGTGTTTGGGGCCATCTGGGGAATGTTTCCAAGCTATCCTATGCAATCTGTACTCCACGCATAATACAACAAGAAATTAGGACAGCCTACTGGCCATAACCCTGGTTCTATGGTACAAATGAGTGGGCAGTATGGGGACAGCTGAGTGTGGTGCATTATGAGATCACACTAGCAAGTTGTTCAGAAGGCTTAGGACCCTGCCCTCATTTTTCTACTTGGTGTTCAACTAAAGGCCCATCCTTATGAACTGTAGTGAAATTTTGGGGACATGGAAAGAGGGAAATTCTCCATGGAGAGGAAGTACAACCCTTAGGGAGATGAGAACCTGCCACAGAACAGAACAGTGTTGGTTTCATTATGCCTGATGAAGAAAAGGAAGGGGTGGTTAGCACAGAATGTTGGTTTACATGATGAGCCGAATAGCACTATGTTTACGGCTGTGGCTGCCGCAGCCTCAGTGCCTTCTTCATTCACCTCCACGACACTCTTGTGCACAACTTTGGACAGACACAGGTCTGTCTCAGTTGACATGGCAGACAAGTCAGCCTGGCCCGGTTGAAAGGCATCGACCATTCCCAAACGCTGAAGCACAGACTTCATTTCATAATCCTCCTGCAGTTTAAATCTTGGAAGGAAAACTTCCACTTCAGTATTCTGCAAAGAGGCTGCCTTGGTCCAGGCTATGAATTTCTCAAAAGTCAGGTTATTTTCCACCTGAAAGACCAGAATCACAGTTTCATATTCAGACTCTTGTGGGTATCGACGGACACAGACATTTGCATGAACATTCCTTGTTAACTGTCCACACAGGACCAGCAGTGCCTTCAGCAGCCTAGAAACTTGTGAGAGATCTGACTTGCCCACCACCCCACGTGCTATCCCATATATGATTTCCCTGCAGGAAGACTGTGGCTGTCCCTCTTTATTCATCCACTAGCAAACCATGTTTATTTGTGAAAAGCATCTATGCCTAGTCAATGGTGCTTTTCTAGTGGTATTTGTTGCTTTGAATGAGGCTTAGTTTTCATATGATAAACCATTGCTGGCAAGCCAAAGAGACTCGGCAAAGGAAGGGCTCTCAGTGTGAGCCTCTTCAGGAGAGGGACAAGTGCCTAAGGTGGAATGAGGCACTGTGTGTGGAAACTCATCCTCACAGTTAGGGACCTGGACAGAGGGAAAGCCCATGGGAGCTGCTCTGCTCCCAGTGACCCTTTAGGTCATCACAGTGTACTGCCACCATTGATAGAATGGTTGACTCTCTTGCAATAGGGATCATATCACAAGGAATCAAGGAGGACAGGGCTGGGCCATTTGGGCTTTGGGTTGGAGATACTGTGAAAGAAAGGCACAGGGTGTACCCAATTCTTCCCACAGAAATTGTGAGTTCAAAGGAGTGCAGCCCCTGCTGACTCACCACACTGAGGTCCACGTCCTCATCTGGGAGCAGGATGATCATGCTCAGCGTCTTGCCAGCATAGGGCAGCTCCAGCACCTTTGTCTGGGCCTCACTGATGTAGATGAAGTTAAAATTGGCTTCCTGCCACATCATCTGCACTGGCCATTCCTCCTCCTGAGAGGAATGACCACATGAGCACAGCATTTAAAATGGTATAAAAAGGACAAGAAAACTCTCAAATCTGCTGGGGTCCAGCACTGCTAGAAATTAATGAATAATTATCTGAAATATGCCTTATAAATAAGGGGAGGAATTTAATGCATACAAGCTTCCTTATTGCATGACATTGCATCTTAAGGGTTTACAGAATTTAGCAAACTATACTAATATCCGTTTTACTTAAAGTTGACTAGCGCCTTTGCAGTCATTTTTAATAATATGAAGCAGCAGATGTTGAATCAATAATGATAAGGTATGATTAACAACAATTCAACTGTGAGATTATTTTTTAAGATTTTTTTAGTTGTACTTGGATACAATAACTAGTTATTTTATTTGTTTATTTATATGTGGTACTTAGGATTGAACCCAGAGGCTTGCACATGCTAGGCAAGTGCTGTACCACAGAGGCACAACTCCCGTACCTAAATGTGAGATTACTTTAATTTAAAGACTAATAGATTGAAGATCTGGGATGTAGCTTCATGGTGCACCACTTGCTTAACATGGACAAGGTTATGAGGTTGATCCCTCATTGCACAAAAATGTAAAAACCAAACAAAAATCATGATTCAATATATGTGTTTTCACATTCCCTCTTTGTACTCTGTCTCATGTCTGATATATATATATAACATACATACGTATGTCACCTCTTTTTGCTTTTTATCCAAGCAACTTGTGTCTATAAGGAGATATTTGTGTCCAGAATAAGGTTAAACCAATACATTATGAGACTTCATCAAAGGCATTTAAAGCGCTAATAGGCTGTAAACCATAATAGATAGCAAGTATTATTTATTCAAGTCATTTTTCCACTGAGATTAAAATTCATTAAAAGAGATGATAAGTTTGAAATTATTATTAACAATTATGCCTTTACAAAGTTAAATTTTCTATTCAATTTCTTCCTCAGACTAGCATAATTTTTGAAAGTCTCTCCCTACCTGGTTTATTTTGAAAGGCATTTCTTTTGTGCATGGTTTGTCAAATTTCTCATCCCATGTTCCTTGGAAGTAGATGGCATTGACAAGAACCAGCCTTGTCTGCTCATCAATTGAGCCCATTGGTAGCAACTCTGGAATTTTACCTTTCAAGAAAAGCACATATTCTGTCAGTGGCTTTTTCTGAACCCATGCTGAATAAACATGAAAACGATGTCTTAGAGATCCAAACATTATGGTTTAAAATGTGCTGAGTTTGGATGATATGTATAAAAGTCAAAAATCCCAGCTGTGAGTGGTATTCATGATGATAGACACTGGAAGAGCCACCAAATTGAAGATGGTGAAAGACTTCTATGTCACTGGAGGAAAGCAGGTTGGGACAAAGCAGAAACTTGACACCAGGTTGGAGAAGAAGACAAGCAGCAAAGGAGAGAGGGGCTGGGTAGGAGCTGACATTACTTATTGTGGGTAAGAGCAGCTTCAGGTCTAAGGCCCTGTGGTCAGGCCCAGTTCTAACGTTGTACAGATACCTGGCCACATTTTTGGGGCAGATAGAATTGAATAGCTCCAGAGCAAGGACATAGGAGGAGTTTCTGGAAGCTATATAAGAGATGATATGATTGCATCCTCCTGGCACCTGGAATCCCTGGAACAGGTAATAATTTGGGTAGGTGAAGGTATGTCCTTCTTTCCCTGTATATCAAGTGGTATGTTTCCAAGGAACTAAGAGCATCCCTGCTAATTTGCTGCCTCTAGAGGGCACAAGAAGAGAAGACTCCAAGAAGAAGTAGTGGAAAGAACTACCTCTATTTTTTACTGTCTCATTTGTTAGCAGAAATAGGGATATTCCTAGAGATGTGTAAGTGACTGATGGTTCAAATATCAAACCATTATTGATCTAGAGGACCAAAGTTAGAAGTTGTCACTCTCTAAAACAGAAATGGTACATTTTAACCTCACAAGCAGGGTGTTTTCAATCTGTGGTATGGATCAGCCCTGAGAGAGGTTGACTAATCAAGTCTAGGCTTCTCAAGTCTGATGAAGGACACTTACATGAGAGATAGGAAAGAAGAAGTAGGAGAAGTCATCTTAACATGTAAAAGTTGGAAAAGTGAAGTCCAAACTGACCCCAGGAAGAGGAGGGCCAAGGGCATGACTTGGGAAGATCTGGCCATTGATCTGTTCCCATAGATGACAGTCACCTGCTGTGTGAACAATACAGGCCATTGACATGTAAAGTATTATATGGGAAATCTGACCTACAAGTTTCTATTGACACTTGCATCAGCCACTCTGGCCCTGGGAAAACAGACAGCATTAATTCTCTGGTTTTGAAAACCTGAGCACTGATCAGATCTTCTGTGAGCCACTAAGGTTCACAGGCAGTAAGAGGCTCAGCCAGGCAACCTTGCTCTGATGGTTCTGCAACACCAGTGACATTAGCAGTGAGGAGGCAATGTAGAAGAGAGAGGAGAGGAGAACAGGGTTGGGGTGGGAGGAGAGGGAAATAACTTATAATTCTGACCTTCCGTCTCTTTTGAGACCCAAGTATTTATATGCTCCCTGGACTTCTCTGTAGCTTCAGCAAAGGACAGCAGCTCCAGCTCCGCATGGTAGAACTGAAGACAGGACTCCTTAAATGTCTTGGGAGAGAAATAGTTCAAATGGCCAGGTTGCTCAATAAAATGACAGTGAGCTTCAAGGCATTCTGAAGGCTATCTTTAGGTTGTTCTTAAAATTAAAAACATGATCAAATCTTAAGCTACTTGATGGTGAAATATTTCAGTTTGTTAGGAGATATTTCCTGAGCTCAAGAGAAAATAAATGAAATTTTAGATATTGTCAAAATTGAAATAATACAAGTTATTTTTGTAGAATTGGGGTCTTTATAAAAAACAGTTTACTGTGAGTTTCTCAAGTTCTCTGGAATATTGTCCTTTTATTTACCTATTTATTTATTTATTTGTTTGTTTTCTTATTTATTTATTTTTGCTTGGTTTTGCAGTACTGGGAATTGAGCTCAGGGCCTTGAGCATGCTAGGCAAATGCTGTACCACTGAGCTATATCCCAAGGCAGTTTTCCATTTTGTTTTTGAGACAAGGGTGTCACTAGGTTGCCCAAGATGGCCTCTAACTCTCCATCCTCTTGTCACAGCCTCCCCAAAATGCCATACTGCCTGGTCTCTAGGGTCTCTCTTCTGGGTTATATATTTCCAGGTATTTTAAATTCCACTTTTATTGTTCTGTTGACTCAACTTACTGAGAGGAAATCATAGGTCTTCTCTCCAAAGAGCCTGTTGGCTGTTGTAAGCAAGTACTTAGACCCAGGCTTGTTCACTTGGGTGAGAAGCATCTGGAAGCCCTTATGGATGTCTTCCTCTGTGTTTAAAGACATTGCCTGTGAAGGAAAGCAAGAAAACCCTCTCAGTTTTGATCTTGATCTCCACAAGAATTTTCAAGCAATATTCTTCTCAAATACTGCATGAATTTATCCTTTGAGAGGAAGTTGATCCTAATTGAGAAGTGACACTGGTGGGATAGGTGGAGAGAGGGGCCAGGAAACTGCTGAGTAAGATACGGGTTTTGTACCTGCACAGAGCTCTCTGCATAGTTTATAGGTGAGCAATATTACAAAACGAAAGGGGCAAGAGAGATTCAAAAAGGGATTATTCTTAAGTCCTCTATCCCATGGAAACCATAAATTTTTCAGAAATAGAGAAAAACTTTCCTCTATTTATGTACAAAATAATGCAGTTCAAAACAGTAATATTACTTGCCTTTATTTATTTACAAAGATGCAGTTCAAAAAACTAAAAGTCCAAGAAAAATTTGGACAGTAATGCAATCATCATGATAACATTTAAAAGGAAATAAAAGTATAAAATGAGCAATATGATTAATAAGAATAAATCAGTTCTTAAACAGTATCCTAGAGAGAGATAATATATGATTACTATATGATACTTTATATTTCAATAAAGGTGTAATATTCAACAAGGGAGTTTCATTTGACTCTGAAATACATAAATCACAAAATTTATATTTAATGATGTCAATGTAGGAAACTAAAAATCAATAACACTACAAATAAAATACCAACAACATGGAAATTAACCTACTAACAAAGTATTAAAAACAATTTCTAAAGAAATAACTTTCCTATGTAACAAATAACTAACATATTGACTATTTTTTCTTTATATTTACTCAGCACTAGCTTTTGACATAGTATAAATAAGTGACAAAGCAGCACAATTTTGGGATGCAATCTTAAATGACAGTACTCAAAAAAATCTATAAAACTCATATTCCTAGAATTTGTAAAATGACTTCCGTTTCCCAACATAATTAAATTTAAGCTACATATATTTTTCTCAGTCTTCCAGTTGGTCAATATACCTTCTTTTTTGCCTAGATATTAGCCAGAAATTAACAAGAAAAGTCCTGTCACCTGGCAAAGATGTACAACCAAATTACCAAACCTTTTATTTTGTAACTGGAATGCCGTCTAACGGAATATAGAAGGTATTCAGCAAAGGGGTCAATGTGACTTGGTTTGACAAGTTAATTTGAAAGAAAAAATATATAAACATCTTATATCCCACACAAACTGAAGTTTCCTGAATAATTTAAAACCAGAAAGAAAAACCTTTTAGTAAATTAATCTTGACCATGAAAGAAATTAGCAGAATGACAATTCTACAAGAAACCAATTAGAATCATTTTCAAAAGTGGTAATAAAGTTTTGTGTAGTTTCAGTCTTTTCAACCTTAGAGGCAAATCTGAAACAACAGTAGTAACAGGCAGGAGCAACAGGAATAATGTAATGGCAATCTTTTGAGGATATTTGTGTATTAACACAATCATATTTTTGTTAGTCTATTCACTCCACAGTTGTTTTCTTATGAATAAGCATGAGTCATAGTAGACACATAGATCATATCAGTTAAGTCTCTTGTCACAACAAGCATTAGAACTTTTTGGAGCTGTTTCTTCTGTGAAACATGATTTTGAGTAGCAAGTTGTTTTTCCTCTGTGGCTCATGCCCAGGCCTGAGATTTGCAGTACTGTAGGAGCAGTTTACCATCACTGCCCAAATATCCCTCATCTGAGGGAGGAGCAAAGGACTGATTCCCATAAGTGAACAACTGTTCTAAGGCCACAAGTTTAAGGAACTTATTGATGAAGTCAATGAGTCCTTGCATGATTCAGGTTCTCTCTACAACCCAAATTTGTTTTCATTATAGGTGTACCCCACAGCCTTTAGAACTATGTCCATTTTTATCTTGGTGTCACTGCAAGGACCTCTCCCTGGCAAGACTGCAGCAGAAGAAGGGGACTCTGGAGTGGCTATATTTGGGGAGACATCCGTAAGTCCTTCATGCCAGCAGCAGTAGTTGAAGAGAGTTTCCACACTGACCTTGATGATTCTTAATAAAGTAAACACTAAAAATGTTTATCCTCTTCTAAAGAATGATTCTCATATTTAATATAATATTTAAATATATGACTTATAATTTAGAAAATAATATGAATGTTCTATTACCAAACCAAGTAATTTCATCAAAAAATAGTTAAGCAGCATTAATTATTTTAATGTTCCAAAGGAAATAATGATATAACAAAACTCCCAACACACAATGTTAGAAAAGGGAGAAAAAAAATCCTGAGGAATTTAGGGAAAAACACAAAATGCTCATGAGTCCAAGAATTGATCTTTTCCAAGAAAGCACACATATCTACCCAACATAGACTGACATCAGCAATTGTAAGAAAAATTTATCAATACTCACAAGAAAAGTTATAAACGAAAAAGAGATTACACAGTAACCCCTGCAAGCAACCACCACAACATTTCACTGGAGGAAACACCTCACCTCTCTCCTTCCCTTCATTCTGTACCCTCTCCCTGAAATGGTCCAGGCTCACCCCTCCTTCCTCAAGAGTTCTGGAAAACTCAAGGAGGGGATAAAAGACAACCTTGCAGACCAGTCTCTCCTCCTGAGTGACAGGTGAGCTTACCTGAGCCATCTGGTCTTTGGTGTTGCCCTTTGCCCCCAGGAGGACCATGGCCAAGGCAGAGGAGATGCTCAGGGGAGAAAAAAACACATTTTGTGAAGGTCTGTCTTGACACAGCATCTTCAAAACCTGGATGGCAAAGGTGCCATTTGCTTTTGAAAGAGAATCCATGATGCAGGGTCTGGAGGCAAAGAAGACAGAGAAACAATGAAATGGGGCTGAGGACACTGTGTGTGGTCTCTGCTCCGCTTTCATTTTTCTTGTGAATCAGAAAATTTCTGAGTACCAGTGAAAGCCATGGGAGTAGATTAGACATGTGAGGAAGGGGCTGGTGTCTGTAGAACATCAAACTGTCTAGGAAAGGAAGAGCAGAAAAGCATGCATAGGAGAACAGAAGTTGACAGGTTGAAGAAAGAAGAGTGAGTAGTCAAAGCAAGCGCAAGAAGGTGCTACTTTAAGCCAGAGACAGTGGGTTTAAACACCATGGGGCAGCTCTATGCAGTGAGACCCTCCCTCACCCAAGGAGGGCCTTAGATCCTGGGAAACCTCCTTGACAACTTCCCATTTCTCAAAGATCCCTCCAAATCCATGCCCAAGCAAGCCTTCAGTACCCTCCCAAATCATTCTACCCACTAGACTTCTCTAGCCCCTGTGATCCTGTGCCTAGTACAAACCACATGTCTCCACTGAGAAGCCTCTGACCTCCATGACCATGAGATCCCAAGTACAATCAGCACTTGCTCACTAAAATGCAAAGCAAGTGGGCTGGGAAGTATCAGAACATGGGATTCCCATGTTCTGATAAGAACAAGAAGTGGTATCTTGATCCTATGAGCTCTCCCTTAAATCTCCAGTGGTGCTTGGGAGAAGCTCAAAATGTGTTTTGTAGATGGCATCCCACCTGCCTGGCCCGGTAGTTTGCTGTAGTTCTCCTCTATCACAGCCTCCACCTCTACCCACCCTGATCCACTCAGTTACCTCTGAGCCTTGGAAAATAGTGATATACAAATTAAGAGGCTCCCCTTCAAATTTCTGTCACCAGGCTCAAATCACTCATTGCTCTCTCCTAGGCTCAGCACCAAGAGGCACCAGATGTCCTACTCTACAGCTCCCTCCTCCCCACCCTGACTCATCACTGCAAATTGTAATTCCTTTTCTCATTTATTGTTGGACCCACAAGATTGGCCACTGTCTGCAGGAAAGGTACCTGGAATCCTGATTTTAAGCACCTGCAAGTATGCTCAGGAAACAGCAAGAGCTCCATCAATTAGGGGGAAACAAGATAAATAAAGGGTGCACTGGTTGTGAACTGGATACTGGAGATTTTAAAAGCACAGTGAAAGGTAAGTCAGAGTTATTTGTGACTCCCTGAGGAGAGAGGAGAGGTGAGAAAATAGGGCCAGTAGGTGGGAGTGGTGTTGGAGCATGAACACCCACCATAGAGAGGTCCAGAGCCAACCAGGGGCAGGCAAGAGACAAGCAGAGAAGCCAGGAGGCTGTGCAGCACCTTTGTCTTCTTGGAACCCTGCTGCCCTTCTCTGGGACTTGCCCTAAGCAAGGTCCTGCTGCACCATTGACCCCCATGATCTCCCAAGAAGCTCTTTCTAAACACAGCAATGACACTGACTTTTTAGATTGTCTTTTCTCATCTCAGTCTCTGGCATCCCTTCTCCCAGTGGTGGCCTGGGGTTTCTAAACTTGCCTGCCTTGGTCCATTCCAGCCCCTGCACAGAGAAGTCCTCACCTGCCACCTTCCACAGAGTCTCTCCCTCAGGTCTCAGTTCTGCTAGCCTTGTGCAGACTTCTGAATCACAGGACCAGGATCTACAGCTGTGCCTCTCTCAGGTCCACTCTGGGGCTTCTGCACTCCCAGAGACCTTTGAGACCTTTTACCAGGCCTGATTAGATCTGGGAATTCCTACCTTCCAATCAGCATTCAGTGCCCCAGGGAAGAAATCCATGGGACCTGAGTCAGATCATGAATTCCCTTGCTCTTGCTCCCCTAGCCTGGCCTCTCTCACCCACTGGTTTGCACTGGAACACCAAGGGAGACACTGGGGTGAAGTTGCACACAGCATGTTTTCTAGAGGATTCTGAAAGTGAAAGCACTCTAAACTGACAGCCAAAGGCAGGCTGCAAAGTCCCCTGGGAAAAACACAGTGGGGACTGGGGAAGGACACAGATCCTACAAATCTGGGCTTCCCTACTGACAGAAAGAAAAGACAGAATGACAGGCTGAGATTTTAGGGGAGGAAAGTCCTACAGGTCTGTATTCTGAGCCTCCTGCCTGACACAAAGGAGAGATTCAGCTAAATGGAATGTGTCCCTTTCCCTTATATGCTGTTGGTGGGAATGTCAAGTAGCCCCATCACTATGGGAAATGGTAAGGAGTTTCCTCAGGAACTAAAGGTAGTGCTACCTACCACATGATTCAGTTATACCACTCTTCTCTGTGTACACGTGAAGGAATCAATGTCAGCATAGTAGAAGAGACAGCTGCATACCCAAGTTTGTCCCAGCATAGTTCACAAGAGTCAAATTATGAAATCTGCCTAGGTGCCCATTAGCAGATATATTCATCAAAAAAGTGGTAAGTATAAGGGTACAGTAGAGTTTAATTTATCCATAAAAAGGAAGGAAATGTGATTTGTACAAAACAGATGAAACTGGAAAACATCATGTTTAAGCAAAACAAGTTTCAGAAAAACAAGTATAAGATGTTTTCTTTCATATGTGGAGTATAGAGAATTATATAAAATGACATGTAAGTAGAAGATGGACTAATAAGAAAGATAAGGGGTGAGGGAAAGTACAAGGGAGGGCAAGAGAGTGTTACAGGTAGGGTGGATTCAGTTAGAGCACTTTATATGCATGCGTGAAATTGCTACAATTAAACAATTTTTTGCATACTTACTATGAACTCATAATTATATAAAAATAAATTTTTAAAAATGTTGTTTCCAAGGGCTCTGTATATAATTTAGTGGTAGTGTGCTTGCCTCATATACACAAGACTCTGGCCTTAATCTTCCACACCAGAAAAAAAAAAATAAAAAATTTGTTTTCCAGTTTCTCTACCACTCATTATTACCAGTGCAGCACTCTCTTAGAAAACACAGTGTCCAAAATCTGAGCAGCTGATCCCTTTTCCAACTTCTGGTGCTTAGGCTGTGGAACTGGTTTATAAGCAGACCTACTCCTCATTGGCAATGTGACCAAAAGAGAGACTGAATCAAAATGGCTCAGGACCTCAAGTGTGTCCATCAGCAGTATCTGAGGCAGGGACCACCTGGAGCACATTGGTTTAGTAGTTCATGTCATCCAAGCTCCACACACTTCCCCATCCCTCTTTGTACCAGCTTCAAGCAATTGGAATTACTTCATGTTGACATATTGTCCCAAGAAGGGAGCAGACCAAATGTCTCTTTCTCTGAAGCAGGGAACTTTTTCTAGAAGTTTGTCCATAAGAAGATACCTGTCTTTTTTCAAATTAATGAAAATTAGTTTTCTCTCCTGAGTGCCTGAATTAGGGTGAGGCAAAACATTTATCAGGCACACTTTCTTAGGTGCTAACCCTCCATTTAAATGACCCCGAGAATGAGGGCTTCCATAAATTTTCACTGAAGGTGCCATGCCATTTTTTAATAACACTATTATTCCTTGCCACAGGCCTGTAATCCCAGCAGTTAGGGAGGCAGAGGCAGGAGGATCTAGAGTTCAAACCCAGCCTCAGCAAATTAGCAAGACCCTGTGCCAATCAAAAACTAAAAATATTTGGGGATGTGGTTCAGTGGTTAGGTATCCCTGGCTTTACTCTCTGTATACAAAAATAAATAAATGAATACACTTGAAAGTAAACAGATAAATAATGCTTGTAAAAAGGTGAATATGCTTACCATAATATTGATAAGAGAAGGAATCTGAGACATTCTAAATTCAGTTATAAGTAGGATGAAGGAAAGAAAAGATATGAGTTTAACTGATAGTTTCAAGCTAAACCAAGAAAGAAAAAAAAATAACTGCAGCATATTTCTTTCCCATATTTTTAAGATCGGCCATTGAGACAAAATTTTATTCTGTTTATTGACTCAACCAAACAAGAGGCTACAGAAACATGTCTCTACTGACTCTCTTCCTATCCCAGTCATATCCCTCTTCTCTCTTTATATTGTAGATTTAATGAAAGTAATCTGCACCTCCTGCTCCCTGGATTTTTACAACAAAATATCTTTAGATCCAGTGGACATTTTTCCAACTGCTACATGATAATGCTGCTTGTGACTTAGGGAATTTGCCCTAGGACCAGGCTAACAACATGCACAGCTTGTATTTCAGATATCTCTCCATCTCAAAACTATGGTTTAACAATACTCACCCCTTGAAATCATTCAATTTCGAGTATTCACAGAGCTGTACAACTGTCACCACTATCTTAGTCAAGAACATTACATCACTTCAAAAACAAATGGGATACTCATTTATAATTATTCTCCAGTAACTGCTCCCTCTTCCCCAAGCTCTGGAAACCACTAATCCATATTTTTCTCTATGTATTTGCCTATTGAGAGCATTTCATGTAAGGAATCATACAGTCTGAGGTATTTTGTTACTGCCTGATTGCAATCTCCAGCTTCTGTAACTTGGCTTGCTTGCATTGGTTAAACCCCCAAACAACCCTTTTGTGGTTTTCAGGCTTAAAAGGGGCACCCTTACAATTGTTCGGGGCTGATCAGGGGAACAGCTTTATGTTCTGGTCAGTCTCCACTTGTGTGCTTCGATAAAGGCTTGATTCAATTATGAATCAAGTGGTCTGAAAGTCAATTTATGAAACCCTGGGATGTTGCTTTAACTATAACAAAGGCTTTGGCCATTTGGAGCATTTGTGGGTCTTCTGAATGGCTCTGACCACACCTACACACTACACTTCCCAGGCTATGCACATTAATGTGGGCATTATCAGGAGCTTCTCAGGGATTCGTGGAGCAGCAGGGGCTCAGATGAGATGCTAATAAATACTTTAAGTATAATTACACTAAAACTAAGGTTTGTTTGAAATAGGGAACAGAGAGATGTGAGCAGTGAGAGCATGAGGTTAAAGGAATAATTCTATTGTGTGTGTCCACAGTACCAACTTCCAAGTGCTTTATTTTTTAAAAAGCTATTTGCCTCCAGTTCTGCCTGACC